GGGATGTTTTTTTAAACGTCAGTCAATATAAGCAGCGGAATCGCCACCCGCGGCTGCAACTAGCTGCTCCAAACATTAGTATGCTAACGCACATAGCGGTGCAGCAAGGAAAAATGTCCCCCGGGAAACAACAGTTCACTGGCGGCCGCGACGAAACGTTCCGCTATTTAAACTGGAATGTTCGGTATTCAGAAAATTCATATCATAACAAAAATAAAAACCGGTATTCGGTACAAAACGGTATACCGCCCAGCACTAACCGAGGTAATMTTTTTTACCTACAGATATTTTTATTCCAATTTTGAAGAACACCTTTGCTGTAAGTGCCTGTCACTTTCAGACCCTACGTCTGTGGAGCAGAGATTCTGAGTCGACACTGTATGTACTGAGCTACTCCAAGGCTTTAAACATCTGTGGTCTTACGAAGGGAGAGACAGCGCTGATTAGCATGGCTAAGTATAGCTCTAATAATAGACCACATGCAGAGAGAGGAGAGGGCGAGGAAGAGAAGACAACTCAAAGTCAAAACATTTGACTCAACAACAACACACAAAGACCAAATTATGAACCACAACACACTGAAAGATGCAGTGTTTGTGGATTTTAAGATTGCGCATCTTTAAAATGCTTAAATGAGCTAAACTGAACAAAAAGCAATGCACATGGAGCAAACACAACACCTATYAGGGAAGAACATGAATTCACACAGCTAATATTTGATGATCTTAGGAATAACTCTCACCTTGCTCTGTGCTGACTTCTCAGTCTGGGATTTCTGACAACTGCGCTGTCAAATAAATGACACCACCGGTGCTGTAAATAGCTCCTTTAAGGATGATGAAAGCACATTTAACCTCTTATGTGGCTCAAGGGAGTCCCTCACGGACACACTGCTGTCCTGAAATCACTACAACACACACAGCAACGAGTATTTCGGCAACATTACACAGACACAGATAATAAAAGCACGAGTCTGAACTGCAGTTTGGGTGGTCTTTAACTGTCAGTTGCACGGAGCAGAGGGTCAGCTGTCGTTGAAGGGACTGTACAGACACCCTCAGCCAAGGTGGCGCACCAGGATCTTTGCCAACAGGTGTCGACGGATCGCACACATGGGCTTTGCATGTGAGCGCACGTGAGCATCCCCAACCCAGCACTAAAGAAACCTCATCTCACTTACACTACAGGGAAATCAGACACGCCTTATCCTCTCGTGTACTGACCACGGTGCTTTACACTGTCTGGACTGAAGGGGATCATGGCTTAAAATGGAACACACACACACATGCATACCCAGACACCATGGGAAACAGTTGACAGACAGCAACTTCAGTTGCAAAAATACAAATATGTGCAGCTGAAGTGTATGGGACTTTAACTTCTGTCTGCTGAAACTTTGAGACATCAGTCATCCTCGAACAACATACACAGCATTAGTCTTGTACATAAAATATTGACTTACATTCAGATGCATACAGTTTCTCCCTTGTTATAGGTCCTTAAAACGTATATTGTTCATTACACACAGGTTGGCTCAGTCTCATTCATGGTACAGTGGCTTTCTTTTTTATATAGCATGTTATGATTGAGAGGGGTGAGGATGCTGGAAAACATGGCCTCCCATGACTCAGTAGGAAAAAGTGAGGAAATCCACTGACATTTTACAAAAATTTTAAATAAATTTGTAACATTGTTGGATTTTAAAGTCACGGTTTAAGCCTAAACTTTAAGTACAACTTCATATCTTTTGAAATACACAATATATTTACACTTACCTGGAATATGAAACATTGGGTCGCCGAACAGTCCACTAGTTCGGAAGCTAAATATTCGACTTTGCGTTAAAAACACGCACAAATGAACTGATTGATAATGTTAAGAGACAGCTGAAGCCGGTAATTATGAGCTTATCAAGCGTATTTAAACTTCAAACAAATTAGGCTAGCTGCAGCTCGACACACGGTGAGCAGAAGTTAAAAACGTAAATAATATAGAGCGCAATTCGCTTTTCCAATGAACATTTCAGATTCAAAGTTTTTACCCTCCGGACCTTTAGAAACACCGCCCGACCAAAGGCTGAGATAATGTCAGCTGCCCTGACCACAATGTTAAGCAGACCGACACAAAAACAAGTCTAAACTCAATTTTAAAACCACCATACAGAAGACTAAACTCTCTCGCACGAAACTACACCGAAATAAGTTAAGAAACTACCTGCGGCTGGACACATCACACGATAAAACAACATTCCGACATCCTGGAGGCGCTTGCTTCCTCTGCTTCATCTGGTGGGCGGAGCTTGTAGCTGTCAGYCTCAGAGGGTCGCTGCGTGCACGCAAACTTATTGGTTAACGCGCTCCTAATAATGTTTCCCAAAAGTCTCTTTATCGTTCAAAATAGCGTCTACCTCCAGGGACAGCTGACAGCTCGTGACGTCAGCTGGTGAGCGTGCAGGTTATCTCTTCTGCGCGTGAAGCTGCTCATTAACAGTTTAGTGTCAGCACTGATTTAACACGGGTGTGGCTGCATTTGTGTTTGTTACACTGTCCTAGTCAAACTTTAATAAATGGCAACAATAAGCCACGAGTTGTCGTTTGAGCAAACTGCAGTAAAAAAAAAAATGCTTAATAAAAACTGACGTTGGTCTATTAGTTATATTTGTTACATCAGCATTTTAATTAAAACTTAATTATTGATCAGTGCTAATAGCTAAAAAAAAAAAAACTCAGCCTGCTGAAAAAATATATATAGAAACGGAAAAATTACCAAAGCATTAGCTACAAGACGTTATAAGATGAAAAGCTTTTAAGATGTTCAAAAAAAGCCTTAAAAACTGTTGATCTTTCAATTTTAATAGTTTCTTGCAAGTGAATATAGTCATGAGAGGCAGCTAAATAAATAAATAAATAAATAAATAAATAAATAAATAAATAAATAAATAAATAAATAAATAAATCCACGATAAAAAGAAACCTATCTGTAGCTATACCAGAGGAGCCCAAAGTGGGGCAAGCCATTTGATTTGGCCCACCAACAGTTTCCAAAGTTACAAGGTTGCAACCTGTTATCCTAGAGCTACAGGTAGAAACACAGTGTTTCCATTGGTCAGATGACTATATAAAAGGGCTGTGGTGAAGGTAGTTTTCAGTCATGGTGCTGACTTTAGCTTTGATTTATTAGGATTAAACATGAAATGACAACAAGAAATATTTAGATCAGATTTAACCCCACATGTAGATCTGCACAGCCATGGATAGATTTTGATTTTGGCCCCCTTGGGGAAAATGTTTGGGCACCCCTGAGCTATACTGTATGTCTTATTTTTACATTTTAATAACGGCTGTGGTTTGTGTTGTGGTTTAGTATCAAAAGCTTGTGCAAAACAAGAAAAGTTTGCTGAGGGTTCAAGCAATGTTTCATTTGATATTTGAAGAAGAATTTGAAACAAAAAGGCAACTTCAACAGACAAAAAAGAACAACTGGGAGATATGTTGTTAGATTTGAGACTTTTAGTGATGTAGCTCCATATTGTTTTTACTGCAGCAAGTGTTTTAGACCAATATATCCACTAGAGAGCAGCCTCTTCCCTTTAATCACTCACAACAGCTAATATTCTGAAAAACCTCTTTTTTTTTTCTTTTCTGTTTTCTTTTTTTGTGGTGTAATTGTCATGCTCCTGTGTGGAATCCAAACGAAGTTTAGACTTAAAAACAAAATGCAGAAGGATGTTATACATGGTCCACTAATCACTGCAACAGTTTTTTTTCTGCTGTAGCAGTAAATTGCAGAATGTTGTCAACTAACTTTGAGTTTAGATGCTTTGTTCTAATTTACTCAGGAAACTTTTAAAGGAAGTCAGTCAGGTGAAGCAGACAAAAGGGGTTAGATCAGGTAGGAATGGAAAATGTATGTTTTTAGATGGATCAAATGGAGGAAAAAAAATCCAGCTGCCATTTGTTAAAACAGCTTGCCAGGAGGGGGTGAGGCATGAAATGAAGCATCTGGCAAAAAGGTAGAGAATGAAAACACTAACAAGGGGACTGCAGCTGAATAAGGGAGGATCAGATTCTCCAGGTAAGATTATTATTAYTAAGCTATAGCTAATAATAACTATAAAGCTAAACTTTCTCAGTGAACTTCAACTTAATTTCCTTTGTGATGGAAACATATTTTTGCAGTTTGCTTGAATGCCAGTTGCTCTGACAACACTTATGCATATTGTTTCCCTTATTTAAATTTTTAAACATTGAACAGAGATACTAATTCCATGGGCCAAATCACTAAATCTAAAATTTCCTTCCTAAAMAAARKTTTTTTCTTGTTTTTAGGCCAGTGGATGAGCCATGAACCTGAGCTTGATGCTCGCATTGATTCTCCTTATTCACTCTTATTCAGCCTTGGTAAGTTTCCTGACAGACTGTTCTTCTAACAAAAGGTTTATTCCTTAATACAGTACCCATTTTAATTAAAAYACAAATGAATCTTAAATAACWATTTTTATTTTCCCTTCATCACATTTGTGCTGTTATAGGAGTATTTTACTATGTGGGTCAAAACTAAAATTCCTAAGTTGTGGTAATGTGGCTCCTGGATTGCTAGTCACCTGTTTCACATTTCTGGGAAAGCTTTAGGAGCAGATGTGGACCTGGCATGAACTACAAAGAGTCCTTTAAGATTAGAACTGGGGCATAGGAGAGATTAAGTAGATGTAAAGATACAGTTGTTTCATAAACATACTTGAATGTTTCACAGCTCAAACTGGAAGTTTATAATGAGGCTGTAGGTTCACAATGAAAAATGCCTGATATTAGAACACGCTCATTTAATTCACTGCACTGGGCAGAACTTCCTGAATGACATGTTTGTGGTTCAGGGAGGCAGAGCTCAGCGCAGACAGAGACAAGCTGATGAGAGGCTGAGACCGTACATCGGCAGAGTGGAACCAGGTAAGATCTGCACAGCTGAAACACTTCTATTGCACATCAGTGATCTACTTCTAAACAGTCCAAGCAGAGCAAGAGAGCTGTGGTAGAGTGGAATAGTAGAGTTGTAAAATACACAGACTGGCATTTTCTTGCTGGAATGCCTTCCTTACAAAAATAATATATCTACATGTGGATAGCTGAAAACCCATATAATGTATTTAAATGTACACTCATGCAATACCAAATGCTAGTTGTTTTTTTTTTCTGTTTTCAGAAAAGCTTTGTGAGTTGCTGAGTTGTTATAGTCCGATGGGATCATGGTGCCAAGTTGTTCAAGAAAATGGAGTCCTGCAACCAAAATGTGTTTGTCCTCACTCTTGTCCACGGTAAGACCAAAATGTCTTGTTGTTGACAAGCAAACCTCTAAAAC